TCAGAGGTGCATCTCATGAACCTCCAGTTGACAGGAATATAGTGACAGAGCACAACACAATGTTACAATTTGGCAGTGGAAGAACAACAAGGAAATGAACAAGGTCAGCAGCCGATAAGAAGAAGAGGAGTGAGGCTACGTGGTGGAAGGGTAGGGAGGCAAATCAGAGGAAGAGGTAGGAGAGGCCAAGAACAGAGGCACGTTCCTGATGAAATATGGGCCACAGTTGCCACAGTCATGGCCTTATGATGGCCGAGGCAGGTCGAAGGGTACAGCCGAATGCTGGGAGAACAACATCAAACATTTTGCAGAGAAAACAGGCATACAGTCCAACACTGTGTACTGTACCATAACACCATATACTTACAGTAATGTTACATATTAAAGTATTTCACTTACATTTAATATTATACAGTAGGTATACTTTATTCGGTTACATACTGTACATTTACTGTAGTACACACACATATGTATGAATACTTACAGTATGTGTGTGTGTATATATATATATATATATATATGTATATATGTGTGTGTGTGTGTGTCTGTGTGTGTGTGTGTGTGTGTGTGTGTGTGTGTGTTTGTGTGTTAAAGTATAGGTCCAGTATATGTAACTTTGTACTGCTGAAGTTGATATATGCCATACAGAAAAAATACAACCTAGTGCATTTTCAATCGTTGTCATCAAAACCTTAGCCATAGTTCACATCGGGAAATACTTACTGGGTGCATTGTTCTATTGACAACATGGGTGAGTATTTTGACCATCTTGTTCGTGAACAATGACACAAGGTCTTTTCATTCTGGTGGCACTGACAAGTTCATTGACATGAATATTTACTTTTGAAGGATAAACTAGGGATTTTGAGAAAGTTACAGGCTTTTACAGGTAATCAGTCCATCATGTGGTGCTGTTTGTATGAATTGTTTTTGAGAGATGCACTTACTGTTTTGCAAATGTTATAGATGATTCAAGAAATATAACAAAGCTACTGCAATCAGCGAGTGAGTAAGTGAGTGAGTATCTGAATCAGTGAGTGACCATGTCCATGAATGAATAACTGTTTATATGACTCAGTGGGTGAGCAAGTTGGTGAGTGATTTTATGATTTAGTGTGTGAGTATGTCTTTGAATGAGTGACTGATTATATGAATCAGGGTGAGCATATCAATCATTGAGTGACAGATTATCGAAATATGTGTGAGCATGTCAGTGAATAAATAATTACATGAACTGGTTAGTGAGCATGTCAGTTGACACACTATATGAATCTGTGTGAGCGTGTCAATGAATGAATGATTACATGAATTGGTGAGTGAGCATGTCACTGAATGAATGATTACATGAATTGGTGGTGAGAGTTTCAGTGAATCGTTCTACTTAGGAATTTGAGAATTTGATAAGATGAGCAGGATGACTCTCAGCACGCGGAGAGCTGAAACGGGAGGCAACTCGGCCCCCCGGGCTCTCGGTCATGGACTGTCAGCGCAGACGCTGCAGCTCTCAGCCACACCGCTATATGGGGGCGGTCAGTGGGGGAGGGGTGGTTGACAATTGGAGGCGTGTCCCACGGGTTTGACTTGACAGCACTGGTAGTTTGTGGGTGGTTTTACTGGAAAGTGAAACGTATCATCTCCTCAACAAATGCGCTTCTAAGCAGGCTTTAGAGGACGAGGAGGTCTTGCGCGCCGCGAGTTTGCGTCGATTCTGTGGGTCCAGCACCTTCCCAGCAGCACCGGCAGTGAACGTCCAGGCTGCTCCTTCACAGACAGGCGTAGTGCGAATGCAGCTGCTCACAGTCAGTGGAAGCCCTTTTCGCACCCAGCTCGGTGCGTGTCCTCCATTGCCATCGCTCTCCTGAGCCAGTCTATTATTACATAAGAACTCCTTTGATGGGTTTAAGAACTATTAAGCTATTTAAAGCAATAATGGGATTAGTGGGATATAGCAGTGTTCCACCATTTCTCTTGAGACAGTACAGGGTCAAAACGTCAGAAAAGAACAGAGTCCTTTGCTGTGATACGCTGGGACTTTATTGTGAAGAGTAGTCAGAGCTGTGGGTAGATTATGGTCCCGTGCTTTGAGACTTTGGTACATGAAGGCTGTAGGAAATTCACATGTTCGTTCAAGAAGAGTATTGGTCCAACCCACTGTTGCACATCATTTGCCAGTTGTTGCCCGTATTCTGTGTTAATGAAAACCTTTTCATGGTACCCTGCTGTGTGGCTCAGCGAGCTAAGCTTCTATACCTGTGCCTGGAAGGTTGCCGGTTCAGGCCTGGCTTCGGTCGGAATGGTTGCATGTTTTTGGGTCCTTGAGCAAGGCCATAACCCCCCCCAGCTCCATGGATCTGCTGCAGTTGGCTGCCCTTGGCTGCCAACCTTGCTCTCTCCTGTATGTCTGCCATGGGAGAACAAAATGGGGTAGGCAACAAAAAAAAGAGGATTTCCCCAGAGGGATCAATAAAAGTGTCATTATCATCAAGCAAACGCAATCTCAAAAATGTATGCCTTAAAACTGCAGGAACAGGTGCATTTCTAACATAGAAAGTGCCGGAACAAAAGCAGAGGTTTTGAAATGGACAAGGAAAGCGTGGCATTCTGGGTAGGCCCGCGCGCCGTCCTAGGGGATCCATGAACTATCATAAGCAAAAGGTCATATTCCTCAGCAGGAATCTGATTCTCTCTCATCCCTCCATCAGCCTGCCTGGTTGTTAGTCTGTGAGCCCACCTGTCCATCATTCCTTCAGTCTCTTCATCCCCCCCCCCCTCCATCTACCCCTAGCCCCCTCCCCGTAAATCAGCACTTGGAGAGATAAGGAGAAGCCAATTCAGCAGGTCAGCAACCACGACTCCCCGTCTCTGTCTCCCGGTGTCCTTCTCTCCGTCCTGATGCACTGCGTATTTGTGTTTAACCTTCGTCTCACCGTGTGCAGACGGGCACGCGCTCTCAGGCTGGGCTGCGTAGGGACTGCATATAATGTGCAATAAGCTGAACCGTTACTCACCATATGTCGCCAATTTTGGTACAAGTCTAAAATCTGCTCCCCGCAGTGTTTCACAGAGGATTCAAAATATGGGCTTTTCATCGTACATTAATTTCACGTGTGTTGTGTTTTCACTCACATTTATCATTAATCTGAATTTTTAGGTGTTCTATTTATAGAACTTCTGTTTTTGGCATATGGAACAATGGAATTTTATTTATACTTTGTTCTCACGCAGTGGCTAAGAGAAGATGTTTCGTCGTAATGGTAAGAAAGAATCACTCATGTGAAAAAGAAAGTACACCCTCTTTCAGTTCTATGGTTTTGCGTATCAGAACATAAAAAAAAAAAAATCTGGTCCGTACCAGGCTGTAAAACTATTTAAATCTAACCTCGGGTGTAAAATGATACAAAACAGATTCCACTGTGTCATTATTTATTTATGTGTGAAAAACTAAGTACATCCCATAATTCAATAGCCTGTAGAACCACCTTTAGCAGCAATAACTTGAAGTAATCATTTTCTGTATGACTTTATCAGCTTCTCATATCATTGTGGAGGAATTTTGGCCCACTCTTCTTTGCAGTGTTGCTTCGGTTCATTGAGGATTGCAGGCATTCGCTTATGCTCTCTTAAGGTCCCGCCACAGCCTTTCAACTGGCTTGAGGTCTGGACTTTGACTGGGCCATTGCAACACCTTGATTCTTTTCTTTTTCTGCCGTTCTGCTGTAGATTTGCTGGTGTGCTTGGGATCTTTGTGCTGTTGAATGACCCAATTTCAGCCAAACTTTACCTGTTGAACAGGTGGCCTCACATTTGACTCTACAATACTTTGGTATACATTGGAGTTCATGGTCGACTCAATGATTGCAAGGTGCCCAGGTCTGGTGGCTGCAAAACAAGCCAAATCATCACTGTGCTTGACAGTTGCTATGAGGTGTTTGTGCTGATATGCTGTGTTTGGTTTTCACCAAACATGGCACTATGCATTATGGCCAGACATCTCCACTTTGGTCTCATCTGTCCAAAGGACATTATTCCAGAAGTCTTGTGGTTTGTTCAAATGCAACTTTGCAAACCAAAACCATGCTGCCATGTTCTTTTTAGAGAGAAGAGGCATCTCCTGGCAAACAAGCCATACTTGTTCAGTCTTTTTCTAATTGTACTGTCACACACATTAATATTTAACATGCCAACCGAGGCCTGTAGCGTCTGAGATGTAGTATCGCAGAGTCTGACCTTGTGGTGAATTTGCTGGGACGTCCACTCTGGGAAAATTGGCTTGAATGTTTTCCACTTGTGAACAATCTTGACCTTATAGCCCTTCCCAGATTGGTGGGCAGCAGGAGTTGCTTCTCTAAGATCATTGCTGAAGTCTTTCCTCCTTGGCATTATGTTAACAAACACCTGGATGCTCCAGACCAGCAATCAGCCAAAGCTTCGGCTTTTATAGAGGAGTCACACTTGCTGACCATCGGTTAATCAAGTGCACTTAATGAGCAGCTCATGGCTGCTACTTACCCTCTGAATTCCGATGGAAGCAGTAAGGGTGCACTTAATTTTTCACACGCTGCTTCAGCATTTTGACTTGACAAAAAAATAATGACACGGTGTAATATGTCATGTGTTGTTCACCTGAGGTTGTATTTTTCTAATTTTATGGCCTGCTGAGGACCAGGTGATATTTTTTATGTCCTGATATGTAAAAATTGTACTTTCTTTTTCACATGAATGTAGTTCCCAAACTCACACACCAAAAGGCAGCCGAACAATGACGTCCGAACCAGAACTCCTGGAGAGAATGTCAGGCCCGATGTGTTTATGAGTAACCAGGACAGCTGGTTCAGCCTGGACCTCACGATATTTCATTGTACCTCTCTCTGTAATTTGGTACATGATCCAGGATTGGCTAAAGCTGACATAAACCATGCCCATCTAAATATCTCTGCCCTGACACATATGATATCCTGACTACAACCACGTAGTGACAGCCCTACCTCATTTCCACCCAGCAGGTTGATGCTGAAGCCACGACGCTGAGCCATGCTGGATCCAGGCTGCTTCTTCAGGAGAGAGCCGACACCTGCCCTGAGATAGCCATGAGCAGCTGCCGGTACAATGGGGGCGTGGGGAGGCCCCCGGGTGGCGAGCTGGACTCCGAGATGCAGCCCCTGCAGACCCTGCGTAGCCCCGGTTTGGAGGTCGTGGTTTCCAAGGGTAACAGCGAGGACCCCAGCAAGGCGTCCAGTGAGAGCCTGGCCAGAGAGGGCACCAGCGCACCGCAGAAAAAGAACAAGGACATCGGATACAAGCTGGGCCACCGGAGGGCGCTCTTCGAGAAGCGAAAGCGGCTTAGTGACTATGCCCTGATATTCGGAATGTTCGGGATCGTCGTCATGGTGACGGAGACAGAGCTCTCTTGGGGTGTCTACACTAAGGTGGGTATGCATTCAGCCGTTTCCTTAAGGAGTACTTACAGCAGGGAGAAGTTTAAACAAAAAACATCTATGATGTTCTCCTGTTGAAACGACATGTTACTCGGTGAAAGAGGACGCCCTAATGTTTACAATACATGACATCACCGAAGCACCACCACTTAATACCAAGGCTGCCAATATCATGTAAATGTGTTGGTGGCATGTAGGGGTTAAACAGTCAGGAGGTCCCAGAACACGCAGGTGCTACTCAGGAAGCAGTGTGGTGGGTGGGCTAGTGCGGGCGATCTGTGACTTTGCTGGGTGCTCATAGCCCCCTCCACCGCACAGTGGAGCCAATCGAGGCCATGGATGTCGAGGTTAGCTTAAAAGTGATAAGGCCTATCAGCTCAGGCAGGGGACCGGCTTACTCTAACATGATTGTTAGTAGCATCAGAGACAAATGCATGGGGCCACACAGGGCCTGGACCGGCAGAGGACATAGACGATAGACTGTAATGCTGACGTGTGCCGTCTCTCTTTGTTCTGCAGGAGTCTTCATACTCATTTGCACTGAAATGCCTTATCAGCCTCTCCACTGTTATCCTGCTCGGCCTCATTATCATGTATCACGCTCGGGAAATCCAGGTGAGTCACTGACTAATGGGCTCAAGGCCTACCAGGCTAATGGGCTAACAGGCTAACGGCCTGAAACGCTAACAACCTAATGGGCTAACAGCCTAAAATGCTAACAGCCTAATGGGCTAAAAGGCTAATGGCCAAATGGACTAACAGGCTAACAGTGTAAAAGGCTAACAATTTAATGGGCTAACGGGTAACAGACTGAAATGCTAACAGCCTAATGGACTAACAGGCTAAAAGCCTAATGGACTAACAGGCGAACGGCCTAATTGGCTAACGGGCTCTCGCGCCCCTGCAGCTGTTCATGGTGGACAACGGAGCAGATGACTGGAGGATCGCCATGACCTACGAGCGAATCTTCTTCATTGTGCTGGAGCTGCTGGGCTGCGCCATCCACCCCATCCCGGGCCAGTACTTCTTCACCTGGACGGCACGCCTGGCCTTCACCTACACACCCTCTGTGGCCGTAGCAGACGTGGACGTCATCCTGTCCATCCCCATGTTCCTGCGGCTCTACTTGATTGGTCGCGTCATGCTCCTGCACAGTAAGCTCTTCACGGACGCCTCGTCGCGCAGCATCGGCGCCCTCAACAAGATCAACTTCAACACGCGCTTCGTCATGAAGACGCTCATGACTATCTGCCCTGGGACTGTACTGCTGGTCTTCAGTATCTCCTCCTGGATCATCGCCGCGTGGACCGTGCGCGTCTGTGAGAGGTACGCCCTCCAACCTTTGGTCTCCACCCGCATTTTGAGGGAAGACCACATGTTACATTACATCACACATTACGTTACGAGTTAGGCTACACCCCGGGCTAAAGCACATGTAACATTACATCACATATTGTCGTACCTGTTGCGCTATGCCTCAGGCTAAACCCCTTCTTAGAATTAAATGAACTTTATTTATCCCAGAGGGCTGATCTTGTGCATACAGCAGTGAGCATGCAGAGCACAGACAAACATGCATGCAGAAGACAAGGTGCAATGCAGTACACATAGTGCGAACAGGTAAACGTTGTGGAAACAAATTTAAAAAGTACACAGTACACAGATAGAATCTTGAAAAACAGATCAGCATGGAAAATTAATTAAATAAATTAATATAAATAAAATTAAAGTAATAAATACATTAGCAGAGGTAATGTGCAATAAAAAAAACAAATAAAACAGATAGCATTGAGCTTTTACTACCAAAAGATGGGTTGTTTTCTGGCGTGTTATGGCTGGGGGTGGTGATGGGGGTGGGCGTGGGGGTGGTGATGGGGGTGGGAGTGGCCCAGTAGGAGGAGCCTTTGTAGTGTCTGGCCACAGCGGGCAGGAATAATCCTAAGTAGTGTTTTATGTTACATTAGCCCACGCCTTAGGCCAAGTCAAATGTCACATCACACACTATCTTACATGTTAGGCCACGCCTCAGGCTAAACCACATGTCACATCACATCACACATGATCTTAAGTGTTAGCCCATGCTTCAGGCTAAGCCACATGTCACATCACATCCCACATTATCTTACACGTTAGGCCATGCCTAAGGCTAAGCTACATGTCACATCACATCCCACATTATCTTACACGTTAGGCTACGCCGCAGGCTAAGCTACGTGTCACATCACATCACACATTATCTTATGTGTTAGGCCACACCTCAGGCTAAGCCACATGTCACATTACATCACATTTTGTCATACCTGTTGCGCTATGCCTCAGGCTAAACTACGTCGCATCACATCAAATGTTGTCCTACCTGTTGCGCTATGCCTCAGGCTAAACTACTTCTTAGAATTAGATGAACTTCATTTATCCCAGAAGGCAGTTTATGTGCATACAGCAGTGAGCATGTAGAGCACAGACAAACATGCATGCAAAAGACAAGGTGCAATGCAGTACACATAGTGCGAACAAGTAAACGTTGTGGAAACAAATTTAAACAGTATACAGTACACAGATAGAATTTCATAGAACATTATGAAATATTAAATCAATATAAATAAAATGAAGGTAATAAATAAATTAGCAGAGCTAATGGGCAATTAAGGAAACAAATAAAACAGATAGCATTGAGCTTTTACTACTGCAAGATGGGTTGTTTCCTGGCGTGTTATGGCTGGCGGTGGGAGTGGCCCAGTGTCTGGCCACAGCGGGCAGGAATGATTCCCAGTAGTGATTTATGTTACTTTGTAGCCCACACTTTAGGCTAAGCCACATCACATTACATCGCACATTATGTTACTTGTTAGCCCACGCCTTAGGCTAAGCCACATCACATTACATCATACATTATGCTACTTGTTAGCCCACGCCTTAGGCTAAGCTACATCACATCACACATTATGCTACTTGTTAGCCCACGCCTTAGGCTAAGCTACATCACATCACACATTATGTTACTTGTTAGCCCACGCCTTAGGCTAAGCTACATCACATCACACATTATGCTACTTGTTAGCCCATGCCTTAGGCTAAGCCACATCACATTACATCACACATTATCTTACATGTTAGGTCAGGCCTTAGGCTAAGCCACATCACATTACATCACACATTATCTTACATGTTAGGCCAGGCCTCAGGCTAAGCCACATCACATTACATCACACATCATGTTACATGTTAGGCCAGGCCTCAGGCTAAGCCACTTCACATTACAACACACATCATGTTACATGTTAGGCCAGGCCTCAGGCTAAGCCACTTCACATTACAACACACATCATGTTACATGTTAGGCCACGCCTTAGACCAGTGTTTCCCAAGCCGGCCCTCGGGGACCCACAGACGGTCCACATTTTTGCCTTAGGCCACATGTGTGTCACACTTAAACCTACAGATCAGTAATACCCTGTGAACTGTGACTGATGCCCCCTTTCCGCTGCGTGAGCAACTTTTCCTAATGCCTCGCGCCCTCAGGACAGGTGGAGCAGAGGAGCAGGTAGAGAGCATGTCTGGGCTGGATAGGTAGAGGTGAACCGCAGGGGAGGACCTACATCTTCACATGACGCTCTGAACTGTTCAGGTGCAGGCTGCCGCAGTGCATGCTGGGAGCCCGCTAGCCTCTTCTTACAGCTGCCGAATGACCTGTGCGTGTGTGTGAGTGTCACTCATGCCTGTACTTTCTGTCTTCCTACTCTGCACCTGCGGGATACCGTAGGGGAACCATGTGAGTCCTCGCTCTCTCCCCCCCCCCCGTGGAAAAGCAGACATCACCTCACTGAGCTGGTGCCACTGAAGCCTCGCTCTGCGGGGAAGAGGGGGGGCTGGGATCAGAGCACACAGGCCAGGTCATCAGGCCAGACGGTCACATGGTTCAAATAGTCATGTAGACTCAGGGTCACACAGTTGGGCAACCACACGGTTCACACATGTACAGAGATACACAGTATCACCCCCCCCCCCCCCCCCAGACAGCAGACACCTTCAGGGTCTGGCCCAGTTACTAGTCACCCCAACAGTGAGCAGTACCCTCACGATATGTATCAGTCAACATATCGGTATCAGTCGATGTTTGTAGAAAAGCAAGACATCGGCATCAGTCTGATGTGTGTCAATCTTGGCCGATATTTAGATTTAAGTCAGTAGTTCAAGTTAGCAGCACCAGAGCTAAAGACATAACTGCTAAAATGATGGAGATAATCGCATTGGATGAACAGCCATTATCCGTAGTTGAGGACGAGGGATTTCGTCGCCTCATTCACCACGTAGACCCTCAGTAGAGTCTCCCAGGTTGGCTCTACTTCAATGACCCCTCCCTGCCTGCATTATATGATATGGCTGCAACATACAACCATAAGATCTTAAGACGTAACGTCATTGACATCAGTTTCACTACAGATCTGTGGAGCTCAGAATTTAGCCAGTTAACAGGTATCGGTAATATCAGACACAAATGTATCGTTCATGGGTATCGGCCAAAATTTCCACATCGATGCACCTCTAGCAGCTCCACTTCTGCTCCATATGTGTGACCGGGGTGAAGAATTTAGTGAAACAGAGGAGGGTCCTCCGAGCCACGTCCATTACACGTCCTCGAGATTACACTCCTTCACACGCTTTTCCAGAGTGTCTCCAGTGTAGCAGTGTGCTGTCCACTCCATTATTCAGATGTCGTCCTGGCTGCCCGTGCCTGCGAAGCGTCTCATTGACATCTTCCATCCCGTTCAACTCGCCTTGCTGGCTGAGGTTTGCTCAGCAGAAGCATAAGTCACTTGACTGGCTAGATAAGGGTAGACCTGAGGAAGATGGAGATGCTCCAGAGGTGGAGCGGACCGCTCTAGACCTTCAAGTGAGATCTCTCGAGTCCTGGGAAGGGAGCTGAAGGCAGCTGAGCCAACTGACCGGACTGAGTGTTGATACCTCAACAAAGATGTGCTGTTATCCTGTAGACCTGATCTTCAGAGGTGTTTCTGCAGCATCCATTTTTACCTAGGTGACCTGGATGGACCCAGCGTCTCCCTAGAATACACTGTAGCTGTCTTTGATGGAAAAAGAGCAGCTGCAAAGAATTCTGGGAAGTCTTTATGATTAATGATACCTATTATGATTTTTATGCTTTTGCCCACCTTTAAATGGTTGCCATCAGTAGCATAATATAAATCAATTATTTGGCAATCAGGAAAATATATTTAATAATTAGGAATAAGTGCAAGCTTATTTTTATGTAAAATTAATACTAGGCAGCTGCATAATCTTATATAGTGTACATTAATATCTGATTAAGAGAGGACAGATTATTAATGAGTTCTTTGCATGAGTTCAGAAGTCCTGCTTTTCCTTTTTAACACCTTTGTGATGTTTTTAATTAACTTTAAACAGGATCACATGCTAATTGTGCAGACACTTGAAATAGAATCCTGATTTTATTTTGAATGTTGACTAACTGATGTTAGTCGATTCTTCAGCCGGACTAAAGAAATGGGAACAATATACCTTTGAAATATACCTAGACGAATGTGCACTAATTCATAAAGTACACAGTGAAAAAATTTAATTATTTTGCATGTCATAATCCCCCAATAAGCCTCAGTGCCTCTGTCCCGGCTAATAATATCACATATGGTGATATATAGCGTCATTATATACCGGAAAGCAGGTGTTTCGTCTGTGTCGACAGACGGACGTCTTGTTCCATAATTAAGACATTTGGATAGTTCCCTATTTTAAGGTTGTGTTGGGTCAACGGAGTGATTGACATTTCGTCTTCGCGGCGGTAAACGGCGACTCCGGCTGCCACCTTCTACCTCCGAGTACGCGTGGTTATTTTAACAGGCTCCTGCTGATGGGCGATGGGAGGAGAAGCAGGGAGGTTGCATGCGGACAAAGCGTGGGGGCTTCTCGCTCCAAAGCGTGGGGGCTTCCTGCTCCAGTAACACAACACCCAGAGATGGATGGGTGGCTCCCCCGGGAGGGATGCAAGGGTGAAGTCCGAAGCTTTCAGAGGATTCGGAGCAGGCTTGTTATTCTTGGCTGCGAGTCAGTGCTCGAGCTCTGGCTAAAGCAGACGGCGCTTAAAAGACATCTGAAACCTGACAGTGAATGCTATCGCACTTTAAAGGTTTAAAGGGGAATTGATTAACAATTTCAGCGAATGCTGGTTTTTGCCTCCTGGGCTGAGATGAGGCTGGGGTGCCGAGTGATTTGTGAGTGTCGTTATGAAAGGTCAGGGACGGGGAGGGAGGAGGCCGGTATTTCTCCTCATTGATGCCGGATTTTCAACGTGCCGACATGCACGTTCAGCGAGGCGGTCGAGATTTACGTCACAGAACATGCCGGAGTTCAGGCTAATCGCTAATCATTTCTTCTTGTGGAATAAAAATTTTCAATTAAGACTGTGTTAACTGTACCAGAAACATTCAGGAGGCAGGCTAAGGGGGAACTCATTACAGTGTCCATGCCAGGACATAGTCGTGAACGGATTGGCTCGTTCTCCTGTTCTTTTATGGTCACTGACAGGGTGTTAAGTTTTATTGGTGGTTTACAGTCCTGAACAAATAGGGTATTGGGTGCTGGGAGGGGGTGGGGCTGTTTGGGGACATGGTTTGTGTCACATGACCCTTACCACATCACTCCAGATGGCCACAGAATGAGGCTGAATACAAACTGTAGGATGCGTCCGAAATGGCATACTTAGACAGTACATACTGAATTTCATCAGATCATTATTGTGGTGCATACTTTAAGTATGCATGCTGACCCAGACGTACAGTAGCTTGACCCCTGTGAAATTTAAACACTGTTAAAAACAATAAAAAAAAATCACAGATTTGCATCAACTTGTATAACTGGGTATTGTTTTCACACTTAGATATGTACAGAAAAGGCACATCTTCCTGCCATTATGAAAAGCATTTCTGAGCAAGTGGCGTTCCTCGTCTCTGGTTAAGGCTCCAGTGGCCTTCTGGGATAAAGTAGCATCTATCGGTTGCACACTTTGGAATTTAACAGAATGTAATATGTCACCCAGGCACCGGGTTCGCCTACTGTCTCATCCATACTGAGGAATGGGACATACTGCTCAATTTGCATACTACATTTTGCCTACTACATAGCAAACAAGTATGCAATTTCAGACACATAGACTATAAAACACTCAGGATTCAGTATCAGGCTCTGAGTCCTACAATGGCCCTGTTTCCCACATGGCTCAGGCTGGTGCTTCTTACTGGATGGCTGGCAGTGGTACCAACTCTGCTCCATGAAATGCCTGCTCACAGTATATTGCCAACTGAAACCTCTGAGGGTCCTACCTTCAAACCTGTTAAGCACTCCCTCAGTGTAGCATTACTATAGTATGAAGCCAAGGGGCCATTTTCCCAACACCAATCTGCTGTCTCCCCCCACCCTATAGCAGTAATTGCTGCAGCCAGCACTTTGAGATGTTTGCTTGCTGGAGAAGCCCCTCCCCGGCTTCCTTCCACACTCCGGAACCCAGAAGCAGTGAGCAAGGATCATAAATTCATGGAACCTGCAGCGTCTGTTTGTTTTTGCTTGTTGTTTTTTTTGTCGGCTTGTTAAGCTCGCAGACCTCCGGCGCGTCACGTCCACTGCAGCTGACGCAAACTTGACGACCTTCGGAGGAAACGCCAAGTGCCTTTTTCGCCGCGATGACGAGCAGAAGCATCCAGCTTCCCCCAGTCTGCCAGTATGGCGACACGAGTCAAAATAACGCACTGGTCTCCAAGGTGCCTTGTCAAGCATAGCTTAAAAAAGCAGCGTGGCAGCCGCCCCCGGCCCCCCAGCCCCGCGTTAATGCCCTCGGGGCAGTTGTTGTGAATAGACGTCCAACTCTGGGTTCATGCTGACAAGAATGACAGCTGTCAGTGGTGATATGTGACCCTCAGTGACAGAACCTCCCCGCAAACTCTTCACTCTCTCCGCTGACCAGCCACCCTTAAGGGCTCTGGAGGTCCGGAGATGGCGAGATCGGCGGGTTTGAGAAGCACAGTCTGTACGGAAATCCTCTCCCCGGTCGCTCTCAGCGTACCGCGTCACGTGTCAGCATGCGGGAGGGGGCGCTGTGGTCCCCGCTGCCATGTGCGTGTCAGAACAGGGGCTGCCTGCCGGGTGCGGGGGGATAGTGTGCTGATCCCTCTGGGGGGGGGGGGGACCCCACTATACCCAAAGAGGGTGAAAGGCAGGTAATAAAGTGAGGAGGGAAAGGGAGGCGGGACATCATGGATGGCCCAAGCCGTGGCTGTCAGCCTGATGGTCTAAAAGGGACTTGGCTTTCAGGCGTGGGACATCTGTTCCCCTGCCGTATGGACTCATGGACTAAAATGACCCCCCCCACCCACCCCCACCCCAGATACGTCAGCCTCTGCCACCTAAAGCGGGGCACTCTGGCAGTGTAGGGGTGTCCATGCAAGTTTGGGTCTTCTGCAGCCCCCAGGGTTACCATGGGATTCCTGACCAAGGCGTCCAGGTCACCCCAGTGCTGCTCTGCGACTCATAGACAGATCAGCTTCCTCACCTAGGAAATATCCGAGAGTGTTTAAGCCCCTGATTCCTCGGGGCAACCCCAACCCAGGGCTGGTCCATTGCCCTCTTCTGTGCGCGACTTGCTGGTTATTTGTGGCCACCCCGGGGGCTGTTTCAGATGAGGAGCCGCGCGGATCGAGGGCCCTTGGCTGTGACGGCACAGGGTGGCGCTCCGTTCACCGCGAGCTAATAATTAGCCGGCAGCGATGATCTGGCCGCGTCGCCTGGCTGAGGGCTTAATGACCACATGAGCAGCTAATGAATGCAGAAGGTCAGACCCTGAGATGGAGTCTCTCTCTCGGTCCCTCTGGCCTTCTCCCAGCCGGGGAGGAGGTCCCGCAGTATGGGGGCCGTCGCTCAGGGGGAGGTGCTGAAGGATCTGGAACATTGGCATGGGGGGGGGCAAGGAGAACGACGTCCCCCGAGGTCGATCGTGTGCTCCCTCACGGCATCCCAGGGTGCTTTGCTGTCAGCAGGCTGTCTGTCCGCCGGCCATGACTGTATCTCTGCTGAGTGTTAATGGATTAAAACCCATGAAATTGCATCTTTCAGTCGGCAAGCTGGCCTCGCATTTCCTTACATGTGTGGGAAAAGCCTCGTTTTCACCCCCCCTTAGCGAACACGTCTTTTTGCCCTGGACGCATCTCCCATCTGCCCCCCCATTATGTCCGTCGGCTTCTTCTGCTGTATTTTAGGTTTATCACCGTGATCCTCTGCTGAATGACTTATTATGGATGGATCCGTGTTTGCTTTTGTCTGCTTTCTCAGGAATTTTGATTTGATGAGTTTTTCCTGCAGTTTTAAGCTTTGAAACCTTCGGAGGCCTTCAGTGGAATCCCAGTTGCGAGCAAACTGACATTCAAACCGTTAAAAGCATTTAGAACCACTGTCTTCTCTCTACTTTGCCCTGCATTGTTTACCTGGCGCTTAGAATGGCAGTGGCTGCATGACAGAACCACATTTCACGGCACAGTGCTTATTTAACTGGATGCCTCCGATCTGCTTCCCTGACTCCTGGCACGTCTGCTTGCAAATCCTTCATTACATCTTACATCCAAAAGAGAATGATGACATGTTTGTCTTTGGATGATGAGGAACCTGGTCGTGATGCTCTCTTCCAACCACTAGTAACCACCCAAGTCTTTGTTGAGTGATGGGACAGCACCCCCTGCTGGACTGCAGGGGTATTGCAAGGAACCGTTGTAAACGTCAGTTGTTGTGTATGCAAGGGTTCTTGTAGAGGTAAGAGTCAGCGAAGCTGCAAACTGTCAGGCCTCCTGTCCCTCAGCGTCCTTCTACAAGATTCCTGCATTGTTCTTCCAGCTTCCTGGGCCGTTCTGTGTGGCATGTTACTGCTCATTCTCTGTTGGATGTTTGTGACACTCAGGCCATGCAGTAGAGTCACCGTCACCCGCCTCGCGATGCCTGTCACCACTCCTGCACGGACAGACCGCGCCCGTCGGCGCCGTTGCTTCACCCTCTGACCGGACTCTTTCCTGTCTTTCATATTGTCCATTTAGGTACCACGACAAACAGGACGTCACCAGCAACTTCCTAGGGGCCATGTGGCTCATCTCCATTACCTTCCTGTCCATCGGATATGGGGACATGGTACCACACACCTACTGTGGCAAAGGGGTGTGTTTGCTCACAGGGATCATGGTACGTGTCTGTCACCTCGGAACCTTAGAACGTTTCTACAAGCTTGCCGTATAGCTTCATTTACCCCTGTTTGCTGTATTATTATGAACTGTTATTTTATAAATTTGTTATGCATACATGTCAGCTCCGGGATCCACCATGACACGCATTGCCAGGCAGCCATTTCAGTACCAGCTAGGTACCGTGGAGCTCGTCCTTCTGCGGGGCCCGGAACTCTGATCCTGCCCTCTCTCTCCGCAGGGTGCCGGGTGCACGGCCCTCGTGGTTGCCGTGGTAGCCAGGAAACTGGAGCTGACCAAGGCCGAGAAGCACGTCCACAACTTCATGATGGACACACAGCTCAGCAAGCGTGTGAGTCAGACACCCCCCTAAGGCAGTCGCGTTGTTAGAGGGTGCAGACTCCCAACCTCCGTAGAATAAAGACTTCTACGTAAGGGTGTTACTCAGGGGTAGACTGGCCAAGGGCTGCCTGTGACCATCAGATAGGGTGCAAAGTGACTCACATGCATGTTCCTCAGTGATACAGACTTCTTTGTATGTTATTTGGTTTATCATACATGTTCTTCAGAGCATGGGCATAGATTTAGGTATGGGGGATAGGGACGTCTCTACCAATATTGTGGGAGTACCCTGTGTGTTTAGGGGTCGTGGGGGGGGGGGGCTGATTTGGTCCCTGCTGAGGTCATCCTTGGGTCCATGTATTTTAGCCCCAATGCCAATCTTCCTTCCTTTGCAAAAAAAGGTCAAGCTCCAGGTAAACTTCACTTAGTGTCTGACCTTTTCAATAGCTTAAAACTCCCCTGGTCCCTAACTCAAACCCATGCCCATGCTTCAAAGTCTCTGGTTCACATACGCGTTCCTCAGAGACTCTGGTTCACATGCGTGTTCCTCAGAGACTCTGGTTCACATGCGTGTTCCTCAGGGACTCTGGTTCACATGCGTGTTCCTCAGGGACTCTGGTTCACATGCGTGTTCCTCAGGGACTCTGGTCCACATACGTGTTCCTCAGAAATGACACACATGTTCCTTGCGGCCGCCCAGGTGAAGAACACTGCCGCCAATGTACTCAGGGAAACGTGGCTCATCTACAAACACACCAAGCTGGTAAAGAAAGTGGACCCTGCCCGCGTACGAAAGCACCAGCGCAAGTTCCTGCTGGCCATCCACCAGTAAGTGGGGTGCAGTGTGACACTGGGGCGTGGGGGGCGGCAGCCAGACAATAACCCGCTTTATTTTTAGTAACAGGCTTTGTTCTGGAGCCAGCAACTCTGACACTTAGGGTGATTTATGCTTTTATTGTTATTACCTATATTGACACAGATACATGAATAAAATGCAGCACTGTACAGTGTTCAGTAGACGCATCAGAGCAAAGCACAACACTGTGCATTTAATGATGAATGAACATTCCTGAAGGTTTGCGTGTTTCACGTCCTGTTTAGTTTAGGTAAAACTGACATCATATAGTTCAAAAACAGTCAGGATGCAGCTCTGACAGGCCATTTCCTTACACAGTTTCCTCACACGCACACGCCTGTTATTTAAAGCAGATAAGTAACGTGTTGAATGCCATTTCACACACACTTGAGGTCTCTCTCGAAACACCAGTCTGTTTCCAGTGTTCTGTTTGTGTTCAGATGCCTGCCTCCCCCCCTCCTGTGCACCCAGTTCGAAATGTATCGACCTGCCTGTTCTGTGTAAGTTGTGGGTCTTTAAACTTGTACTGTGTTCTGTCCTTGTTTTTCTCAATCGTTGCAGAGCTCAGAAGTAAGTCTCTGTCTACTCTCTCTCTGTTTCTTTGTCTGCCGTGTCTCCGATCAGTGTCACCCAGACATGCATACGTGACTTTTTTCCATGCCCCTTCTCGAACCCCCTGTCCCATACCTAGTCTGGCATTCCAGACAGCTTTTGTGACATTAGGGTCACCTGTAGAATCACATCAATCAAACTTGATTTCCCAGAATTCCCTTCCATCTCAGGTCCACCTAACCTAGTTTCAATACGCTTCACTGCAAAGAGGGACACTGTATATCTGGTGGCTGGGTAACCATTGTTGAAAACTGCACAAAAAGTTTACACAGAAACTGAGTACAGAGCCTCAGAGAGTCAGACACAGGTCCACAGTCAGACAAGGCCCAGAGCAAAGGATTAACTGTGCTGAATTCTCTGTGTCTTTATATGTCTACACATGTCTGTGTCTTTATGGTGAGACTGTGCGTTTCTTGGATATGGTATTGAAGGAGCTTCCCAGGATTTGTGATTATAAACTTACTGCCTTAATCGCTGTGCCCCCTGCTGGTTGTCTCTTTATAGTTAGTCAGTTTGTCAGCCAAAGCTCCATACAGTTACAGCATGGCTGCCTAATTAAATACACACTTCTAGGTTGTCTAATTTACCCTGACTTACCCGTATACATCACACCTGCCTTCTGTCCATCTTTTCATTCATCGGACCCCGTGTCTCACCTTCAAATCATCCGCATCGGTTCTGCTCGCCCCGCCCCATTCCTCACGCTGCCTGCTCTCATTCGCCCTACAATGCCTTCTGTCCACCTCTGACCTCTGACCCCCCAGCTGGGGAGTGTTCTCGTGTGTTCTGTGACTGCCTGGGTTTTATGTGCATGTGAGTGGCTGTGGTTCCTGATGGTGCCGTGTTCCCCCCTCCCCGTCCACCCAGACTGCGCAGTGTCAAGATGGAGCAGAGGAAGCTGAATGACCAGGCCAACATGCTGGTGGACCTGGCCAAGGTGAGCTCAGAGCCCAGAGGGATCTGCCAGCAGGCTATCTCTACAGTTAAATACACGCCTGAGCATTCAGTTTTTATAGGATAGACTCACCCAGTGCATGTCTCTAAGCTTCAGTCTTGCTGAAACCCGATATTTTGGCAAATCCTGAGCCCCAGTTGCTTAATATTAAATTATAAGAAGCTTAGAGGGCTGTTAAGCGGCTGCATTTATGTTTGATGCCTCTTCAGTCAGCTCTCAGGCAGCATACGGGGGCAGGGCGGACCTGTTAAATTACACGTGGAATATTCCGGAAGTCATGCGTGTGAACACCCCCCTCCCCCACAGACGCAGAGCGTGATGTACGAGCTGGTGTCGGAGCTGCAGGAGCGGGGCGAGGAGATGGAGCAGCGCTTGGCCGTGCTGGAGGACAAGCTGGACGCGGTGGTGGCCAGCGTGCGGGCACTGCCCGGCCTGCTCTCCCGGGTCCTGGCTCAGCAGCAGAGCGAAGCCCTCGAGAGCCTCGCCCAGCGGCTCCGCCCAGCCTCCCTGGGCTCCGAGCGCTCATGGCCTCCCGCCCGCCGGCGCCGGTCGCCCTCCACGGTGCCGCACACCTCCTCCGACAGCGGCTAGACCGCCGGAACCGCCACAGGCAAACGAGCGGACAGCAAACACAGCGTTTACGTTTAGCCATTGTATGGCTGTTCCTGTTAGCTTTTTTATAAAGCCCATGTTACTGATTGGAGGATGGGAGGTAGGCCTCAGGGGAGCCGCCGCTTGGCATTCTGGGACAGGGAGCAGAAAATGGACAGGACTTCCTAGTTAGGGGTGGGAGCTGGAGCTTTGACCTAGAGAATGAGGGGAAGGGTCTGGGGGGGCAGGGGGGGGGGAGTGAAGTGAGAGGCCGTTTAGGGAATAAGCAGGGGGCTGATAGCTTCACTGGCCATAGAAGGGCGGAGCTTAAAGACACTTATGCCAAGGATTTAAAATAGGCAGGAGGAGGTGAATTTAATAAGGGGCTGTCACACTCTCTCGCTGGCTGTTTACCAGACAGACTGACTGCCACTCACAGTGCTGTCCGAGGGAAGACATTACATTCCTTTTTCCGACACATTCCTCTAGAAAATTTCAGAACGGGAAACCTTCAATCTCGAAATCAGCTGTGTGACACCAAATATTTTGTAACTCTCCCTTACATGCAATACTTAGCTGTTCTTAGAAAACTTTTAACAGTGTAAGGTAACTAAGACTGCGGATCTGACCTGCCAACGATACACGACATAAAATCAGAGCTTCCAGAGGCCTTGACGGACAGGAGTTCGGGTGGGAGAAGTCAGGCCACACCCACTGTAGGTATGACGTGTTGATTCCACCCCTCGTGTCAGTCTTTTCTCATTTTAAATCAGGTATTAGAAGGAATATTTGTAAAATGGAGTATTTTATCACTAACCTTAACATAAACTGGATGATTTAAGAACTTAAACTGCACTGATGACAGTTTTGGTGGGTTTTACATACACCTCATTGATCCAAGGATAAATTCTTTAAGAATTTTAGGGCTCATGTGGGATTTGAATCCAGTACCTCTTCAGACCCAAAGCGTGAAACGTACCCCTAGACCCATAAACCACGGTGGTACCCTTGAATGCTGATCTTAAAGGGAAAAAACTGGAAAGTGAAGGTTTTGGTTTGTCTTAAGTGGCACTGAAGTGCCAGACAGATAAACATTGTAGTGAGCTACAGCTGCACAGTCCTTAAAAGGTGAAACCTTCACCACATGTCCAGTCATCCCCAGTGTGTCTCCATATCAACCCTTCTTAGGAACTTCTTGTTCATCTTTCTTTGCGGTCATATGCTCTCGGGTGATACCCAGTCACACTCCTCAGCTCCTTCAGCGCTGAGTGACACCCTGTACACTCTCTGAATTTGGGTGGCTCACCATTCGGTTACCACCCCTTTCATGCACTGGCATGCGTCATTCCCTGCCCCCTGATTGGTGAACTCACCTGCGCAGGGTCATACCATGATATACACAGGGAGGCCCATCGTGAGGATTTACTCCCCAACACTTAGGACCGTAGAACCTGGTCTTAAATCCTGCCAAAAAGTCATATTCATGTATGGAAACAGTTATAGTATAGTATTGATTATTACTGAATTTACACGCCATTATGCTACAGCCAATTACAATTAAGCATCTATTCATGTCATTTCTGAGTAGTGAGATGAGATTATTTTTTAACATATGGGTAAGAAATTTAAGAAGAAATGTATAATCACAATTTTGTATTTGATACCAAGTTATGCATATCAGTTAGCACTGGAGGTATACAGTATAATAAAGGAAAAGCGATGAGTCATAACCCAGGCTTGCCGGTGTCCTTTGTTGTCTTCACAGGGGTGGGGGGGAAATACGGGGCCGTTCACATGCACTGAGTACGCGTGTGATCCATCGCTTCCTTGGGGAGATTCTGCAGGAATCTCCAACAGACTTTAAACAACGTTTCCTATCGATCGCGCCCCATCATCGCGTCTCCCCTTACATTCGGAATCACGCCTGAGCAGGCTGGATGAGATTTGACGTCTCCTCTGGGTCCCAGGAATCCGGAGGTATAAAGGGAAAGCCACATTTAAATCAAACGCCTCGTTTTAGCTGCATGAGCCCAGCCTGAGAGCGCCACCCACATCTCTGATGGATAAAGGCTGTGCGACAATGACACAGACTGTATGAGACCCAGCTGACTGTCGCATAGGGACAAAAGCACTGTGACACACTGAGAGTCCTCAGGGTGGCATGGTTCCCTTTCCTAACCCAGCTGACTCCAGCAGCCCGTTAAAGCACGTGAGAGCCAGTGTGACTACTGCCCCCTAGAGGAACGCTGCTGTACTACTGTATTTTTAGACAACCATTAGCTCATTTTCAGTCCTAGTGAAAGGATCAGATGTTTGAGATACATACTTGGACTTTTAAAATGAAAAAACGGACATAATTAAATCGCACATATTTAAAACAATTAAATCACACACAACTGATATAAGATAAAAGGTAATTAAAACGAGAACGGGATGGAATACCTAATTTAAAAGCATACAATACGTAACCTGGGCTATGAATTCTGCTTCTGAAAGCCACAGCCTATCGGGCCAGTCATCACCTAAGGCACAGTCACAAAAATAGGAAGGAGGCGGCGCCGGGTTTTCCCTGTCATGCCATTCTGGCCGCACTGAAATAACGGGCTAGTTTTTTTTTCTCATAGCCAAATTCACAGTTTAGAAGAAGAGGTAAAAGTTACGTCTGAGACTATAGTGATGCCACCCACGATCGGGATCGGGATGAAAAATAAAATGTCGAGTCCTTTTTTGCACCAATACGGGACGCGATTTGTTCCGTATTTTCGTACATTAAAGACACCAGTTTAACCTAAAAATCGGAAAAACGCATTGAAAGTAGCAACCCGACCTGAGATGTCGGTGTATATTATACGCCGGGGCCGGTGCCTAGCGCTGGCCGCGGCTCCTTGGCTGTAATGCGCCCGACGGCTCGGCACCGCCGCCCTCCGTGTTTGCCGAGCTTAATGATTAAACAGCCGCTCCCCTTAATCTCCGTGACTGCGGCGTCCACTCCGGACGGGAGCCATTTTAACACAGTCCCTTCGTCTCGTGGATGTCCCGTTGGTCACCAGGTAAAGTGAGCATCGTTGCTTCATACATATGCTGACTGGCAGGGTTGGTATCTGAGGTTGGTGCGTCTGTATGGCGAAAAGCGGACGGAGTCCAGTCGATGCGCAGAATGAGCAGGAATAACGCTGCTGAAATAAGGGGTTAATGCACAATTACGGGTGCTACTTAGACACTCATCGGTTTAAAGACCATAAAAGTTAACAGTAAGGATACAGAGAGCGTCTAAATGATGGCGATCGCTTCTGATGGTGTCGCCGACGGGGGAAAACCGGCGAAACCTTTCAAAAGTCCGCTTTTTAAAGTGATTTCTGTCGGAAATACATAGAAGTATTATAGCCATAAACTATGCCCCAGTTAATATGCTTCGGTTTCGGTATAATAACGGTCGGTAATTATGCATCTTAAATGTCATCATTTCATACCCGTTTCATGTTTCAAAGGCTTTTTGAAAGCTGGTAAAGTTGGATTTTCTACAGCGTTTGAAATGTGGAGCTCTTCTCTGTTCTGCATCAATTATTATCAAAGCCAAATTTTAATGACACTTTCTGTCTATGGCTTTTCTGTAGAGCTGGTGAGTAGGGAGTCCATCATTGTTCATTTCAGACGGATATAGCATGAGCTCTGTGGATGTGCCTTTCAAGAAGAGCTCAGAGGAACACTGGAACCAGGGACCAGAGTCTGGCCGACTTGATGACCTGGATGACGCTCCTTCAGCGCTGAGTGACACCCTGTACACTGAACCCCTACACCACAATGATTTCAGTGACACCACCAGCTTACCCTCAGCGGAGCAGATAGAGGAGCAGAGGAGAAAAGGGTGGAAGAAGTTCCTCCCACCTGTATGGGGGGGTCTTCTTGGGAGGTGGAGGACTCGTACGACATGGTCAGGCTCCCCGAGGGTGGTAATCCTCCCCAATGGGACTCGTGTGAGCCCTCCTGTCAGCCCCCTGCCGGGACGCCGGTACCAGGGTATCAGTGACTCCCTGAGCTCACACAGACCGCTGCTGGACAGCACCCCTACCGGCTCGTCCCGGAACGAGGCCTTGTACCAGGATGCCCAGGTGTCGGCGGCCGAGTGCTACGCGGAGAAACTGGAAGCGTACCAGCTGAAATACTCCTACATGAAGTCATGGCCAGGTTTGCTAAGGTTGCTTGCTGGCCTGCAGCTCCTCTTCGGAGGCATGGTGCTGGCCTGCGTTTGCGCCTATGTCCAGAAGGACAGCGAGTGGAGCAACCTCTATAGCCTTGGGGGTTTTCCCGGCTACTCCGCCTCAGGCTATTACTACCGGGGCCCCATGACCATGTTTGTGCTGGCGGTGGCTGGCGTGGCCTGGCTGGTCACCGTGATCCTGCTCGTCCTGGGCCTCACCATGTACTACCGCTCCATCCTGCTGGACTCGCAGTGGTGGCCGCTGACGGAGGCCGCGCTCAACCTGGTCGTCTTCGTGCTCTACATGGCGGCGGGCGTGGTCTATCTCAACGACCTGAACCGCGGTGGGCTCTGCTACACGACCCCAGGCTTCAGCCCGCTGGTGTCTGCCCTGTGCCGCGTGGAGGGCGGCCAGATGGCCGGGACGGCCTTCATCTTCATCAACATGCTGACCTACCTGATCAGCTTTCTTGTGTGCCTCAAAATGTGGCGACACGAGGCAGCGAGGCTGCGGAGGGAGGCCCAGGGGGCTGAGGTGGGTACTGTGGATGGGGGCCCAGGGGGCTGAGGTGGGTACTGTGGATGGGGGCCCAGGGTGGAAACTAGTGGACGGAGGATGACCTCAGTTGTCCTCTTCTTCTTCTGCCTCAGTTAGGGATGGAAGAATGGCAGAGTGCTTAATAAGAAGGCTTTATAAGGTTCAGATCCCAGATGTTTTATGTTCTGCCTCTAAGAAGAATCTCACACCAAACTGAGCCAGTATAATATCTGTCTATGAATTTAATTAAAAATCAACCGGACGACTCAATGTAAGCTTTCTGTCTATATGATGGATGTGACCCTGCCCCAAACGGCACTTGAAGTAAAAATGGTCCGATTAGTATTCTTGAGCTTAATTGACCTGCGGCCAGAGGTCACAGAGCCAGCAGTGAAGTCTCAGAGCCTAGTGTGCTTATTGTGAACTCTTATCGGTGTTCACAGTGGAGCCGGTACGGAGTAACTTAAATATTTAGTGTGGCTGTTGAGGAAGATGAAGTGTTTGGGGCAGAGGGAGGCATTCGGTGCTGTGGCACCTGGTAAACAGGAATGAAACACAGAGGTGACACAGGCAATGGGGATGGGGACACTGTCACACTGTGTCCCCTCCACCACACTGGTGTAGCTCTGCTAGTAGAGTGTATGTTGAACATCACCGTCTTCTGCTTTTTCTGAAACGTGCAGCCCCTCCCTGCCCCCCCTTATGAGGCGCCCCACCTCGTCCAGGACCGGAGCCAGCTAAGGGTGGCCACGTCCCGGCAGGGGGGGCACAGAGGGGGCTCTCTGAGGGTCAGCAAGAGGATCCATTTCGCCGAGGAAGGGGAGGACCCGGGCAAGCTGAGCCGGGCCATTCCCACGGGACACGTCCCCAAGCCCCGAGTGGTGGCCGACTACATCATGTGAGTGACAAGCGTGTCCCAGTCACATGACCCTACAGCGTCATTCCATCCCATAATTCAGTGTCAGGTTGCAGATGCAGAATCCGGTGCTGGTGACAGGTGAGACTGGTGCTTCATGTCCCCCCCCCCCCCCCCCATAGAAAGTATCCCACTATCCGCTCCCTGGAGGACCGTGAACAGTACAAGGCCGTCTTCAATGACCAGTACACAGAGTACAAGCAGCTGCACGGGGAGGTCAACTCCACGCTGAGCAAGTTCAGTGAACTGGACCGAACCATGGGCAGACTCCTCACTGACATCAGGACCCCCGAGGTAAGACGGGCCGCTCGAGGGCTCAGGAAGGAGGTATGGCGATGCGACTGAGAAGGTCACCTCCTCAGTGTGTGAGTGTGTGTGTGTGGGGATCATGTATATATTACACTGTGTGATTAAAAGCTTGTTATTTTGATGTTGTGAGGACCACAGTTTCTGACAAGGGGATTTTTAATTTTTTTTATAAAAATCTGTGAATGCAATTAAAAAAACTACATATGGCAAAATTCTTGTATTTAGTTTGGTTACTTATGGTTAAGGTTACGGCTGAGTAGGGGTTAAGGTTGTCATGTTGGGATTAGAGTTTTCACCATAGAAGTGAATGGAGGGTCCCCACAAAGATATAATTCCAAACCTGTGTGTGTGTGTGTGTGTGTGTGTGTGTGTGTGTGTGTGGATATCTCTGAGCATTTTGTGCTGGAGAGAGGGGCCTCCTGGTTGGTCTGATGCCCTTCGAGAGATGACAGCGACTTCACAGATTAAACACTCCCTCTCACGGATGCCAATGCTTGTAACCACTGCCAATCGGTTGAGCAGTTATGTGGTGTGGTCTCATCAGTAAGGCGCAGAGACTGCGCATGAAATGTTTTTGCTCCTAGGATAAAAACACTGATATTCTTTCTGTGTCAAACAGGATCAGGAGAGAGTTTCCCGGCTCATAAAGCAGTACAAGGAGAAAAAATATGTAAGTCTGACATGATGGGTTATAGTATTTTAAAAATCCATAAGTATCCGTTACTCGGTGCAGGGTCCTGGGGCCCTGGGGGCTGTCCCAGGAAACACAAGGCGGGGGAGCCCCCGCGTGTCTGACAGCACATAGATTATGGGCTGTCTAAAGATACCAGTATAACCTAAACCACATTTTCAGACTGTGGTTAGAAGGTAGAGTAGCCTGTGTCGCCCTCCTAGAATGGGCGTGGCCAGTACGGTTTGCCCCTCCCACAGTGGGCGTGGCCTGAGCTGTGTCATGTGTACCTTTGGCAGGATCCCTCATTTTTGGAGAAAAAGGAACGATGCGAGTACCTGAAGGCCAAACTGAACCATATCAAGGGCCGCATTCAGGATTTTGACCGGAGGGGGGGCGGGGCCGACTGAACGCCTCTTCCTGCTGTCCACATCCTGTCCCTACGGCACAGCCTCTCTCTCTCTGCAGGATACCCGATAGCTCTGCTCATTAATCTCAGATCAGCAGTGACAGTGAAGTGATACCTTTACAGTATAATCATCCAGTGTATGGAATCTAAGCCAAAGGATGTCTAACATTCAATACATTTTTTGGTTTAAAATGGGTGTACATATGTGTCATAATTTTTTTTTTATTCCAGTTTATTGTAAATTTAAAAGATTATTGTCGATTTATAAGATTATTGTAAATTTATGATTATTGTAAATTTATAAGATTATTGTAAATTTGCCATCACTTGGAAGTATTTCATGTAAAAAATACAATAAAAACCAGGAAAGACTGAAATGTTGACTTTGTACTCTAAAGTTGTATATTTGTCTTTATGAACATCGACATATTTTGCACATGTGGTTTTTACTCATTTCATTAAAAGGACCAGTTAGTTATCGGGGCTCCGCCTCTCTGACAAGGTGATGGTGGATATTTCCCCTCAACAGGAGTCAGTGGTAGCAACTTCTGATCAGAGTCAATCACTCCATGTGAAGTTGTGCTTGTGATCAGAGTCAGTCACTCCATGTGAAGTTGTTCTTGTGATCAGAGTCAGTCACGCCATGTGAAGTTGTTCTTGTGATCAGAGTCAATCACTCCATGTGAAGTTGTTCTTGTGATCAGAGTCAGTCACGCCATGTGAAGTTGTTCTTGTGATCAGAGTCAATCACTCCATGTGAAGTTGTTCTTGTGATCAGAGTCAGTCACGCCATGTGAAGTTGTTCTTGTGATCAGAGTCAATCACGCCATGCGAAGTTGTTCTTGTGATCAGAGGCCTCTGTAGTGGAAAGGCTGTAGGGGTCGATGAAATCCGACCCGATGTTGAATAGCAAAGGGTGGTAACCTGGTAAACTCACCTCTTCAATGTTGCATGGAAGCTGGAGAAAGTACCTCTGGATTGGCTAACAGGGGTGGAGGTCTCTGTTTTTAAAATGGCAACCGGAACATGTGTGTCAACTATAGGAAGATGACTGGATCTGGTAGGGTTTGTTTGTGCTAGTCTCTACATTTTAGAATAATTACAAAGATATCAAAACTATAAAATAACATATATGTAATAATGAACTGACAAAAAATGTATTAAACAAAAGGAATTTTATTTGGGGGGCAGCTCTGTGGGTTGGGACTCAGAAGGTTGCCAGTTCAAATCCCTGGTTCAGCAGAGTGATCCCACTATTGGCCCTTGAGCAAGGTCTCAAACCCCAATTGCTCCATGGACTGGGTTACTCTACTGTCTTCTCTACACCAGTCTCATGAGGGGGCCTCCTGTGATGCTTTTTCCAGGTCCCACATATATGCTGAGCAGTCACTGCTGCTTTGCCTTCACCCTCTGGTCAAACTCCTCCAAAACCATTTCTGCTGTGTTTATATCAGGTGGCCAGGTCATGTGATGCGACACTGTCACTCTCCTTTTGTAGGTGGCTTGGTGTGTTTAAACTTTTGACTGGTACTGTAGGATTCAGGTGGAACAATGTGGATTTCAGCCTGGCTCTGGAAGAGTGGACCAGCTCTTCTTCCTTTCATATCTGTGTGAGGGTTAACATGAATATGCTAACGCAGTCTTCATTTATTTTGAGGAGGAATATGACCGCATTCCCTGCCACATACTGTGGGAGGCGCTGTAGGAATATGGGGCACCAGCACTGTTACTGTATCGCTTGGGGATTCTGCCCAAAGGTTGCCAGGCTCGCTGTCTGTGACTCGAAACAGAGGCGTCTGAGGATTGAGGCGAGTCACCTAAGGTGATGCAGGCATCTGGCAGGCAGCCCCATCAGACAGCAGACACAGCGGCTTGGGAGTGACAGAGAGTCCATGGGCCGGGAAAATGAAGTCTGGTCTGACCCACAAAGCATGGAGAAGTGCTGTGAAGATGATGATGACTAATTGATGGGTTTGCGGCAATGTTTATAACAAGAAAGACAAGCCTGTGCTATTTAACAGTGCTTCTGAGCGGAGCAGCATTCTCACAGAATCTGCCCCGAAGCAGAAACATGGTAATACCGCCATATTTACCTTATACTATATTTCTTCAGAATGCAGCTGTTTTAGTATCCAAGCCAGATGTGGTTTGCATCAGGTGATTCTGCCGCGTAATCCTGATGGGCTTCGCTATGCACCTGGAGAGCCATTCGCCACGTTGCCCTGATCTGAAGTGTCTGTTCCCTTCATTTAGGAAACGTCCCGCATTGGAATATCACCCCCTGTGGGTTATGTGGAGCAGAAGGCACTGCGCGCCGGGGGGGGGGGGGGGGAGGGGGGCGGGGGAGGCAGGTGAGAGTAAGAATGAGGAGCCAAGGCCAGCCTTCAGCCAGTGGAGGAATATGAGCTGAGAGGAGCAGAGTGGCAACAGCGCAGCCGATGGAGGCCTGAGGGCGACAGGAGTGTTTTCACGGCGCTGCCTCAGCTTAAACCCTCTTTCGCGGATTCACCTGGCACTGCCCGCAGGTACGTGGAAGCGTGATCTGCCGCCGCTCTGACTTTACTGACCGTGGTCTGACCATGGTCTGGTTTTACTGACAATGACAGTCCACAGTCGTAAACCCTGCCTACTTTACAAAATTTCTCATTTGTCTGTGACAAGAGCATAGATCCATGGCGCTTGTGAATTTCTTCTAATGATAATTAATGAATTAGTCTTAACGAATAAACTAGGGCATGGCTCCATTAAATACGTATGGCAAATGACAGAAAAAGCATTTGTGATTAGGGCAGATTTATTGGTAAATATGTCAAGTGTAGCGCAATTAAAAGAATTATTCAGTAAAAGTGAAATGAGATCCACGTCCTTGCCCTCAGTGGCTGTAAGTAACGCCTGTCCTGTGTCAGAATGACACCCGGTCTGTAACGTGTCCCTGCTTCGCAAGTAAAACAGCTATGACTGGTCAGCATCGGTATTTTTTTCCCACAAGCCTCGTCTTAATTCTCACACAGAGCTTGGAATCGACGGCCTGAATGGATTCGCTGTTCATCCTGCTGCTTTCTGAGAATTAGGGCAGCTTTACGCTTTAATTATTTATCCTCCGTATCTGGTCTCGAATGTCTGTCTGAATTATTAAAGTCCCCTGGAAGGAGTCACAGTGAGCCGGGGGGGGGGGGACATTCTGCATAGGACAGTGACCGCGTCCGGCATCGCAGTGCACCGGGGCCACACCGGCGGCCGAGCGGCAGATATATAGGCCGTAATGTCTAGAAGGCATATCCGTTACATGCGCTGAAACACCAGGAAATGCAATCCCGACGTGAGTTTAGTGTGGTTTGATTGCAGGATGCTTTGGTGATTCAAAGAAGGCTCTTTAGGTTCAGCCAGGGGTTCAATGGTTCAACAGCAACTCGAGTGTGGGATTTGATGCACGGCATTAAGACTACGAACTTCCCCTAACAGCCCCTGATTTTTCCATCACGCTACAGGAAGACAGCAGATAATGGTTAGGTGGGGTTTTGTGGGCAGAGAAAGCTAAGAGCGACCGGCCCAGGCTGGGTTAGTCTCAGCATTTGTTTATCTGGCTTTTCCTGTCTTCGTTTATCTATGAATCCGTTCGCTATCTCATTTTCCCATCTCCACTTATTTCCTGCCCCTGCACACAAATGGTTCCCTGGCCTCGTGCCACATCTGGAAACGGCAGCTCATTGCAAAATCGCAGCTTCGTGTTCATATGTGTAGCTGAGAAAAGGGAGTCGGTCTTAAAGATCGCTTTGCGCAGAATTCTTTCCAGACAATTCAGCGAATAGTGCTTTGGTCGAGGAAAGCATCTCGAAAGTGAGCTCTTATTCCACAAATAACTTTCTGGCACTCGTAGCTGCAGTTTTTCACTTCAGGAATATCATTTCGTACATCATTTATCCGATGTTATATGAGATTTTCCTCGTGTCGGGGACGTCAGACAGTGAGCTCATGGTAATATCTGCTCTGCTTTGCTTAACGATGAGTCAAAGTCCTCTGCTATACATTCGATAATGTTGTGTTATTGTTGTGGGTGACGCCATGTGTCATCCACGGCAACAAATGGCGTCAGCTACGTTCGTGTGTCACCGTGGACGCACAGCCCAGCCCAGCGCTACTGATGCGCACTTTGCGTGTTTCTGTCTGTTTTCTTTGCGCAGGTGGTGCCCAAACTTCTGCGAATGATGTATTTCTATGACACAAAGCATTACACCACCCACACTGGGTACAGGTCCCCATACATGGACTTCGGAATCCTGAGCCCTTCTTGGGAGTTTCTGGCACCTAGGAGTGGGGGGGGTCCCGGGTCGTACTATGCGCACGAGAGGCCGCAGTATTTCTACTACTGGCTGTCGCCCCCTGGGATAGTCAGAGCCATGGAATGCGTGGTGGCCACCCTCTGCTTCATCATCTTCATCTGCGTGGCTTCCACACTGGTGTGGGACATCAATTTTAGTGTCCCCGCGACGGGGACCTATGGTGGGGGGCTCGGGACGGGATACTACAGCAGCGCCCATACTCAGTTTGGCGCCTACCCAAGCCCCAACGCTGCTAAGGTGACCATGATGACCACGGCCGCCTTGAACTTCCTGGTGTCCATCGGCATCCTGGTGTTCAGCTACGTCCGAGCGTCCAACTTCCGGGGGCGCTGCTTCTACCTGCTGGTGGTGGTCGTGGATTCGGTGCTGGCCTTCCTCCAGGGCGTCATCAGCATCATCTATGTCATCAGCATCAACCCGATGTCGCAGAGCTCCCAGAGCATACTCTATAACCCTATTGTGATGATGTGCAACAGCTTGTACTCCGGAAACTCTGCGGGAGCCGTTGGGGCCTTTCCTGTCAATAACCAGCACCTCTACCACTACTGCTTCATAGACCCACAAGAGGTGAGCTGCCCTGCCCACATTCTCTCTGGGTGTTTCTCAATATGCGTACTTCACCGTACTTGTGTTCTCGCATAGCCGTTTTACATCATCTTCCATTGCTGAAGACCGGTTCCAATACTAAGCACAGAAGTAGAGAGAACAGTAAAAATCCCCGGATGTCATTGTCGCACGCGCCCCCAAATATCACAGATACATGGATTACATCCTCGCCAAAGGAGACCAATCCCATGATTCAATGAGGCCCAAGTTCATTCTTGGGAGGCAAGTTAGCAAGACCGGTCTTGCCAAGACCACAAGTGCAACCTTTGCGTTCTTGCTATTGAGAAACACCCTCTGTCTCCTTTCATGACGAATACGATCTGCCCTGACCCATGGACCCTCCGCAGGTGGTGGCCACTGTCTGCGGCTTCCTGGCAGTCGTGGCGTTGACCATCGCTGCCTGCTTTGCCCAGAAGACACGCGGAAAGATCTGGCGCCACGGAAAGCATAACATCTACTGGGACCGGCCCCGTAGCAAGGGCTCCGGGGCCCGGGATGTTGAAGACTGGGTGCGTAGGCACTGGATGGACTGGCGGGATAGACCTGGGATAGGTGGATAGGATTGAACAAGATGGGCAGATAGATCCTGGGCGGATGGTTAAAAAGTGACCAGGATGGATGGATGAGTAGGGTTTTAATGGAGGCATCTACTAACAGTTTGAAAATGACCAGCAGTAACCGATACCAAATCTACAAGGTCATGTCAAAGTCAGTTTCATATTAAAATTTCATATCAGTTGCTTGTTTAAATAACTTCCTCAGAAACTATGACTGAGTCTGCTTTTCATGTTTTTATTTCCTCTTTGAAACAGTGTTCAGGGCAGTTCAGAGTCCATCAGTCTGTGTGTGATATGCTCTGATATACAGCTGAATTAAAGGGGCCGCCTCATATTGTTTTGTTTATGCTGTCTGGAAGGTTTCTCCTACAGTTAGCCTGTAAATAGCTGTAAACGAGACTGTTTCACTGTGGTTCGCCCGCTGCCAGGTGGACTTCGGCTGCCAAATGTCCTTATTCTACGACTGCGGAGCCTAACCCATTGATCCCAGTGTGTTTCCAGGTCGATCGTGAGATGATTAATGGGCAATGCTTCATTGGTGGCCAACCAGTCAACCACAATCGGACCCCCCCCCCGTCCCAGTCACCAGTAAAATATACCATCACAGTTCGGTAGCATGCCAGAATATTGTCTTTATAAAGTAGCTGTCACTGTACAAATAGGTTGGCCTGCGCAGTTCTGTCAGCCCGAACACTGTGTCTGCTGATACCCTGCCTGTCACTGGAGCCAGCTGCCAACAGCTACTGGCTGTTTGTTTCGGTCACACCTGGTTTCACTTGGAGTGATCTTTGACCGGCTGAGATACGGTGCCGTTTTCTTGGAGTATCGCGATAATGTTTATGTGACGGGCTGAGAATCTGTAAGGTGGAGATTAATCTCATTTTCAGGGCACCCTGTCTTTGCAGACTGCAACAGCACAAACACCCCCAGGTAGCCAAACAGACACACTCTCTCCCAGACCGGTCTTTCCCTTTCAGGCGTTTCTGCACCAAGACTTTGTTGTTTTTCTTTTTGGGGAAACTTTAGTTTTGAGCTGTAAGTATTAAGCTGTGAGTATTTTTGCAGACTCACTCAAGTCCTTAATCCAGCCGTCAAAGTGTGTTTATTGTTTCCATGGAGAGTCCTATGAAATCTTGCCCCCCCCTCCAAGATCCACACATTCCTTCATGGCTTACTCCACCTTGAGCTGCCAAAGCAGTGTGGGGGGGTGAAATCTCTGCCCTGTTTTCTCAGACATCGTACACAGAAGCACATGCATGTTGCTCAATCAGTGAAGGATACTGCATGTCCGTCTCCTGTGGCAGTTCCAGAGTGCTGCTTGCGTCACGTGGGTCGACACACGCCTCTCCGCTTTTCCGCCGGCCCTGTGAACCTTTCCTGTCCGCAGTTTATACAGCAGGAAGGAGACCCGTCATGTGATAGGCACGGGAAGGGCGTGACTACAACTATGAGAGGACTGCGATGTCTCTCGTGGTCCGTCTGCCTCACAGGCTGGTGCTCAGGAGCCTGTCTTGTTTGGACTAAATGACGCATGGAGATATATTTAGGGGGTGTGTAATTCTGTATGGTGTTTCAGTCTGTATGATGTATTTAGGATATGTTTAGGGTTATAGTAAATCCATGTACTGTATGTATGGTCTGTGAATGATTGTAAATTGCATTATTGACTTTGAGGTTCTCAGATTTCATAGTAGTCATAGCAGAAAACGGCAGTTTGTGCTTGGCGGTTGTGTCTCCTTAGAACCAGGCCTTTCCAGTCTGCCGTCGTTTTGGCTAGACAGTACGTAATAGGTTTTGTTTCACATCAACGTGACTGACTGGCTCTTTTCATAATGCGTTCATAATAACCTGGTTTTGGACCAGCATGCTGCAAAGGTGAAGGTGTGATGACTACTGTGCTTCAGGTCAACAACATTGAAGGGGAGCCCAGCGTGCGAACGGGCCCGACCGTGCTGCTGTCCGAGAAGCCCCCCACCCCCCAGCTCGTCGCCGGGCCTGACAGTGTCTCCAGCGGGCGTAACAATCCCAAGGACGGCTGTGTGTGAGTGGGGCGGTCGCTCACCATGGGTGGGGCATCTGTATCATCACTCAGGCACTGGCATTGCTGCCAGTTGGTAGCCACGCCCTTAGATTATGCCATGCAACCAAAGAACCTGCCCCTGCAGGAACTCTAAGCTGATATGATGTCGTGTCCCCAGAGAGGTGACCCCTCCCACCAAGCTAATTGTCCAGGCCGGTGGGAACTGGGCCAGCTCCATCCCCTTCGAGGAGTCCGGGGCACCTCCCCCACAGAGGACCCCGGTCCACACCCCAGGGCCTAGTGAGTCACAATACGAAACTGGCTACGCCAGCGGGGGGGACAGCGGCCCAGAAGCGGACACTCCGCTGTGGCACAGGTGAGGTCTCTGTTTCTCACTAAGTGGACAGGAAGGGGGGGCTTCTGGGTTTACCAAATGATGGGCCCTTTAACCGGCCTCTCTGATTGGGTGAAATCCTACACTGGTCTGAGTGTGCACATTAATCTTGAGCAGCATGTACCCGGAGATCACGTCCGCCAGCCAGCGCCAGGAGTATAAGAAGGTGTTCGACTCAGACTTGCGGACTTACCAGCAGCTGTGCGCCCAGTTGGACCACATCAACGGCCCAATGAGCCAACTGGCCATTGAGCTGGACCTGCTGTCGGATGGGGCCTCCCAGCACCAGGTGAGGCCGCCAATCGCAATCTTGACAAATAGCCACATTTCTATGGGCACTAAATCACAAATGGCGTAAGTGGGCAGTGTGACGGGTCCGATGAAGGCCCTCCTCAGAGTCCCAAACCAGGCTGGGGGAAAAACAGCAGGTGGGGTGACGTTTTACACTCCTGCTTCAGTACAGATCAGCAAGGGGATCTAAATCCGAGGCCGCACGTGTGCCGGCTCTCATTCCAGGTCCACATGCAATGTTGTTTTTATTTATTTTTCGTAGCTGAACAGATTCTCCAAAAGTAGTGACATCATTAGGCTGGGATATATATACGTGACCTGCAATACTGGCCTCCAGCCACAGGTGGCACCAAAATACAAACTTAGATACAAAATTTAAACTGTCTGTGTATCCATCCAGGCCCTGGAAGAAGAGTACAATAGGCTGCAGGAGCTGAAAATGGTGAGTACAGGCAGGTATATGTTTTCAGAAAGCATTCCACAATTAGGTGGGCTACACAATGAGTCATAAAAGGACAAAAGCAGTTGTACCCAATTTAGTGGGTCTTGGTTAAAGACATCTGGACACAGCTGCCCCATGGATGGCCTTTGACCCCCTCAGGCACCAGAGTATCTGACCCAGAAGCGTCAGTGCCGGGAGCTGCGCTGCAAACTCATCCACATCAAGCGCCAAGTGAAGAATTTTGATGCGTGCCTCTGAGACCGACTCCCCCGCAGATATCAGACAGGAGTCCTCCATGGCCCCCCCCTCTAAGATGGCCAGCATGCCCCCAGACCACCGGGGCCGGTCCAGCATGACGCCATGTCCTGCACTCTGGGGTTTACCTGCAGCTCTGAGGCTGCCTGCATTGTTGTTGTTGTTGTGGGAAATGTGCAGCGCCTTGCACAACGCTGCAGTAATGCTGTTAGGTGTTGCTCTAGTGCCAAAGTCCCTCATCCCCATTTTCTAGTAAACAAGATGGGCGGAAGCCTTTTCCTCTTCTTCCAGGAGTTGAATCCAGTTGAGTGTCTCACTTATGGTCCAAATGCACCATAATGGTTGTTATCTGGAGCTGAAGTATTGTTATCAGTGTGTTATGGGGCTGTTTTTTTTATACAGTGCTCATTCTGAGCTCTTTTACACCTCAATATTTCTGAATATGTCACGGAGCCTGTGCCTGGTTTCCAACGCATTGTGAGTCTGGCACATATGGCGTTTGTGCTGTTACTGATTGCCTTATGGAGCCGATGTTGTTGTGTGTTTCTGTTATTGGATAAATGGAGTTGACATGTGCATTTGTGTTATGGAGCTGCACTCCCTTCCAGTCACACATGTAACAGAGGCCATGTCCCTGATCAAGCCTGCATCTTTATGCCTGTGCTGTAAAGTTGAAGCACCTCTTAGAAGTGTTTGGCGGAGCGGGGCACTGTAGGCTTGACACGTCATTCTAGGTTCACTCGGCAACCCAAGCAGCCACGTTTTGTCAAGTTCAACATGGAGTTGATGCAGTGGTGGATCCTGGCAAGGGTAAGATGGGCAGTTAGGGTTAGGGTGGCATCTTCTGAGGGAGATTTTTTTTTCTTATCAGGGCGCAAACAGCATTAATGTGTTTTAAAGGTGATGTGAAAAATAGCTTAGCTTACATCTTTATTTTAATTTATCGAATTACAGAGCTGGTTTATCCCCAAATTTAATGTATATTATGGAGTTGGTACACCGTCAAAATTGTAACTAAAATTGCATTTTACATTAATGCATTGACCCCAAGCATGCATATTTTTGTGTTTTATAGTAGATGTTATTTTGAATTTAAATGAATTTCTGTGTTTCCATTGTATCATGGAACGGATCCACAATTCTCAGCATGCATTTTTATTTGACATACTAGAAGCATTTTTAAAGCATTTTAAAATATAAAGATCTGCTATGAAGTTGACACACCAGTTTGAGCACAATTTTTAAATTTGTGTAAAAGAGCCATCATGGCTTTCAAAGTATGCATTTTATTTTATTACAAAATTGACATGCCACACCAATATTGCATTTTTATTTGACCATGTTATAGAGTTGATGCACAAAGAGCGCATTTTTGTTTTGCGTTATGAAATGATGCGCCATGAAAATCATGCGTTTTTATTGTATTACGTTACAGAGTTGACATACTTCTCAAAGCTTGCAATTTATTTTATTCTGTCAAACACACAGCATGAAGCATGCATTTTATTGCATTACAAAGTCGACGCCCTATGCAAAACATACAATTTTATCAAATTACAGAGTTGAAGTGCCACATAAAGCATGCATTGTGTTTTATTCCATTATAAAACTGATGGCCACAACAAGTGTGCATTTAAATTTTTTCACATTACACAGTTGATGCAATATGCAAAGTGTTCATTTTTATTTCATGATGTTATGGAGTTGACATGCCATACCATGCAGGCTTTTTGGTAGTATTGCAATACGGTGTTGATGCTCCACCAGAAAATGTGAATTTTTATTTTATCACGGAGCTGGCATACGATACCAAGCCTGCAAGTAAATTACGTAACTGAGTTGATGCGTCATGCAAAGCATGCATTTTTATTTTTGTCATGCTATGGAGCTGACATACCACACCTAACATGCAATTTTTTATGTTACACAATTGATGTGTAAAGCATAAATTTTTATTTAATCACATTATTAAGTTGATATGCCTAACAGCATGCATTTTATTCCATTAGAGAATTAATGTGCCACACCAAGCATGCATTTGTATCATCACTTTACAAAGTTGTTGCACTATGCAAAGTGTGCTTTTTAATTTTATTATTGTGAGCTGACGTGCTCCACCAAGCATGCATTTTTATTTAATCACATTTCAGAATTAACACACCATCACAAAATGTGTATTTTTATTTTATTACATTAGGGGGCTACCATGCTTGAAATTTTGTCACATTACAGAATTGACATGCTATGCAAAGCGTGCATTTTTATTCGATCATATTGTATGTTGAGTTGCTTCACAAAATATACAATTTATTTTTACCATGTCACAGCATTTTTATGTGTTATGGAGTTCCTAACACAAAGAAGTATGCTTAAACACATGCCGATAAAAATGCATGCTTTGCAAGGTGTCAACTCTAATGCAATAAAAATGCATGCTTTGTGAAACATGTCAACTCCATAACACAAAAAAATTAAATGCATGCTTAATGTGATACATCAACTGCATAATGTGATGACATAGGAATACACATTTGGTGTGCCATGTCAACTAGGTAACATGCATTCTTTGTGAGGCATGTCAACTGTAATATTATTACATTTCAGGCTGTGAATAGCATGTCAAATCTGTTAGGCAATGAAATTGCATGCTGGGTGTGCAACATCAGTTCGGTAACAGGATAAAATAAAATCGCATGCATTCAGTGGCACATAAATTCTGTAGCATGATAAAATCAAACTGCATATATTACTTTGGCACATCAACTCCATAACGTAATAAAGTAAAAATCTGTGATTTGTGTGGCATGCTAACCCATCATGCAATTTTTTTAAAGTGTGACTGCTTGATGTTGCATGTCAAAAATGGAAAATGCTTAATATAAAATCGTATGGCTCATATTGACTGCATTACAAGTGTCGTACATTGTTCATGTCCAATGCCATTAGGAGAAAACAAGGAAAAACTCCCTAGAAGGAAGAAGCCTTTTAAGGAACCAGACCCAAAGTGGGAGCCCATCCTCCAGGGGCCGACAAAGGAAGTCCGAAATAAGCAAAGTCTCAATTTATAAACCAGAATACCGGGTATAAATGCTGCCATCTGGGCAGGGGGGTGAGGAAGGGCGGGATGGGGGGGTGGTGCCATCCAGCAGCAAGCGGGTGAGGGTGGCATATGTGCAGGGAGCTGCCCACCAACTGGAGCTCCAAGACGGAGATCTGAACAGTGCATTGATAAAACTGTGTGACAAATAGTTCAATTTATGAGGTATTTTGTAGCACAGTATGGAGATAAGAGGTGGGAGGGAGCACAGGCATGAGGAGTCCCTGAGCACCAGCACCCCAACAGCACATGTGGCACGTGAAGCCAGAGTGACAGCATGGACACCCAGTTCATCTAAAATCAACGACACTGATCCCCATCCAGCTCCACACCCCACACTATAACTGTAGCTGAGGGTGAAAATTAGCTGTCAGCTTTGTCACCATATGCTAGACTAAACAAGTGACTTAGACTAAACAAGTGACTTATTAGCCTTGACTTAAACATCAGTAGGGAGTCTCAGTCTCGGACCTTTGCTGGTTGACTATTCTATAACATGAAGCACAGTAACAAAATGCTTTGAAACCACATGACGATCGTTCCACTTCAGGCACCGCTAGGTAGCCCCTTGAGAATGAAGCAGACGGTGAAGGGGGCGGGGGGGGGGGGGTTATTTGGAAATCAGTAAACTACTAATGTACTCTGATGCTAGACCATTCATTGCTTTATATGTTAGCCATAGCACCCTGTAGTCTATGCGTGAACCTAACCGGAAGCCAATGGAGCGATACCAATGCAGGGCTAATATGCTCACATTTCAGAGTCCTTGTTAGAACACTTACTGAAGCACTCTGCACCAACTGAAGTTTATTTAATAATGCAGAGGCACACCCAACCAATAGGGTGTTGCATTAGTACAACGTAGAAGTTATAAAGGTGTGTACTAACTTTTCTGCATGCTGAAGTGAAGTTTTGCAATACTGCTCAAATGGAAGAAAGCTGTTCTCACCACTTTATTTCTATGAGCATGCGGAGACAAGGCCGAGTCAATAGTGACACCAAGGCTTTTAAGCAACGGGCTTAGATTGTCTAGGCAGCTGTCAAGCTTTATGATATCAGCAACACCCTGGGCTGCCCTGGGGCTCAGTAGTAATACTTCTGTTTTGTCAGGATTTAACAGAAAGAAGTTACTGGCCACCCAACCCCTAACTTGAGCCACGCATTTCTCAGTCTTCGAAAACTGCGGAAGCTCACCTGTTTTAACAGATACGTACAGGTCTGTGTCACCTGCATAAATTATGTTTCCTAATAAAATAACCAAGAGACAGCATGTACAAGGTGAACAGTATTAGACCCAGGACAGAACCTTGTGGGACACCATACCTCATTCTGTTGGATTCGGAGGATTCATTGCTCGCATGAACAAACTGCTGACGGTTAGTTAGACATAAGCAGAAGCAGGACAATGCCTGCCCATTAACCCCAACCAAAGACTTCAGCCTTGCCAATAAAATGTAAAATGTCATGGTCAACAGTATCAAATATTGCACTTAGATCCAGCAGAACCAACGGGGATACATAACCAGCAGCCATAAGCAATTCATTCGTGACTCTCACTAGTGTAGTTCCAGACCCTGACCGGAACATCTCATCAATAGATAGGTTAGAAATAGGTCTGTAATTATCCAAATCATTTGGATCCAGATTTGGCTTCTTGAGGACAGATCTGACAACAGCAATCGTGAGCGGATACCCCAGGCTTAAAGATGAGTCTATCATACTAAGTAGTGTGCTGATTATTAGTGGTGCAGTGTCTTTTAACAGCTGTGATATCAGGCGTGTCATCTAACAAACAGGTTGTGGGTTTCATTGAGGTTGTAGTATAGTTTTAGTACATCAGGTTGACTTATCATAGAGAATTTGAATACCTTATTTAGTCATCGCAGAGTCAGATGTCTGAATATCATGAGCCGCCAATGTAGCACTCCAAATCGTCTCCCTAAATGTTAATAATTTTCTTAAATGCAATAAAATCATTGCTGCTAATTATCACTGGACCTTGCAAGTCCAATGATGCATGATCCCCTGTCAGACATGACGTGGCGCCAAATAGGAATCTGGGATTGTTTTTGTGGTTTTCTATCCGCCTGGACAGGTATGCAGACCTGGCCCAAGTTAGGGCATGTCTGTATGTTAAAGCACTTTCTTTTCAGGGAATTTGGAAAACCTCTAGCTTAGTGATAAACCACTTACATTCAAGCTTAAGTGTGCTTGCTTAAGCTCACATGCTTTATCTGTAAGGTATGTGTTTCTTGTCTATCAGTCATTTTTGTTTTAGTGGAGCCACATAGTCAAGACTGCTACAAAATGCCTGCTCAACCATTTGGAATTCAAGTTCCAGTTCAGCCTCAATAGTGGCCTCATCTAATGTGTGTAAAGTGTGCAGAATTTTGTAGGCAAGAGCTGTCGATGGACTGATCAAACGATTAAAGTAGTGCTCCAGAACCAACGATGTCGCAGTCCTTATTTGAATCTCAAATAGTGGGAGAAGTTCCACATGTTCCACAGACATACCACAGCTAAGAACCAAATGTAAAATATGGTTAAACAAATGAATAGGTCCTACTACATTCTGCGTAGAACCAACAGAATCGAGTTTAGAGGCTTTTCTGACAGGATCCTGTCATTTTCCATATGGATATTTAATCCCCAACAATGACGACCTCATCTACATGTATGGTCTAGCAGTAACTCATTAAGAAATCAGTGAATTCCTTTATGAAGTCACTGTAGGGGCCAGGAGGCCAATAAACAACGACCATAGTGACATTTGTGGGGGGTTGTATGTCGCTATGCCACGTACATTAAAAAACATTAATTCAAATGTGTGAAACTCATACCCTAATCTCTCTGTGATACCTAGTTTGCGATCAAAGATAATAGCAACACCACCACTTTGAGATTGTTTATAAGCGTACCTAAGAAAGATCAGACTCATTTAAAGGAATGGTGTTGTCTTGCTTAAGGCAAGTTTCTGTCAAGCACAAAATGTCTACACCGTGATCAGTAATGAGATCATTTGTAAGTAAGGCTTTAGTAGCTAATGACCTTACATTCAACAAACCCAACTTTATTTTAATATTACTAATGTCATGTGTTATGGGCCCCAATTGAGTATGTATTCAGTTTTCAAAGCATGTTTTATGGCAAACTGCTGCTCTATGCTTGTTTGTCTGAGAAACATACAAAGTTTCAATTTTATTTTATTTTCTGCACCCTAGGTGACATCTCTAGGCCGCTAACAGACAGATGGTTAAGCTGGTCTGTCTGCTGCCTGGATTTGGCTCTGCGAAGTCTACACTTTGACCAAAGACATTCTGCTATGTTTTTAGAGAAGAGACCGGTACCCGCCCACAAAGAGTGAAGATCATCTCTCTTTAGAAGCCCAGACCTGCCCCAAAAAGTCTGGCAATTATTTTTAAAACCCACATCATTTATAATCACACCATTAATCCAATTTAAATATACTTGTTTGGACTTTGGCATCAACATGAAGTAAAATGAAATGGTTTTCAGTGACATGTCAATTCCATAACACAAAAACAATGCTAAAACTTTAGGGTCAACTGTGGGACACTTTTTAATATTCGAAAAAGCATCAACGTAATAATTGTATAAATCCAATTTAAAAAACACTTGCTTGGGCCAGTTTGTCAATTCCATAACAATCCAAAAAGACTTTCTTCTACTGGCATGTCAACTCCGTAACACAATAGAAAACATGCATGCTCTGGGAAATGCGTAGTTTAATGTTTTTAGATGTTCTTAGAGCCTGCATGCACAACATGTGAATACTACTCCAAAACAGTCACATGTCACAACTCTCTGGACCTCTGGACAGTCACAACTCTATAACGCAACAAAGGCATTCTGGGACTAGCTCATCGACATAACCAAACTTTAAAAATACACAGTGAGCCAATGCAATAAAAATGCGTTCTTTCAATTGCATGTGAACTGCATGACACTATGTACACTATACATTCATTATACGTATGTTTTCATATTGGCATGTAAACTGGAAAAGACAATAAAATGCATCAAACCTTGTAACACAAAAATAAAGGGCTTGGACTTGCAACTTTTAAAAACAAAAATCTCAACAGAGGTACGTCACTTTCCTAATGCGATTTTTAAAAATGCGCGCTCCAGGTAAGTTTGTGGCTCCATATCATAATTTTAGAAAGATGCAAGCTGGGGACACCACGTCTGTTACACAACACCAACATGTTCATGTAAGGATGGTGCTGTGTCTCAGCTGCAAAACACACAGCGAGATGCTCAACCACCACAAAGTGTGAGGAAACGTGCTTCAGCTCCACAGTACTCTTGGAGTCTGACATATCCAGGAACCAGAGCACACACCAAACAAGATTTCAGATTCCTACTTGGTGTTGGGCTTCACTGAGTGGAATTAAACTTCGGCTGGGAAGAACAGTGTATGTAACAATCTTCAGCCTTGGGATCGCTCTGCAATTGCTCTGCATGGGCTGTTGTGTTTATATGTATCCAAAGGAGGAAGCACACCAGGACAGAACTGTTTGTCACGTTCTTTTTAATCCTACATTGGTGTATTTATTTCTTAATCAGGGACCAGGTATGTTCGTTAACATATCATTCCATTCAATGCTTTGCACCAAATACAATCAAAAAAAATGTATAAGCTGTATCGTATGATTTTCTGATGTTACAATAAATTGGTGACATGTTAGCTAACATGTGAAAGACCTTTATTGCTTATCAGACAACGTATCATTAATTTACAGACGTAGTAAATGATGATTTGGTCATAACTGCATTC